ACACACACACACACATACACACAAAGACAAATATACACATATACACACATACTATAACCCCCCTTCCAAACACACACGCGCGCGCGCGCACACACACACACACATACTCACACACACATATACATACACACACACAAACACACACACACACACACACTCACACATACACACACGACATACTCTCACACATACACACACATATACGTAAATTTTGAGTTTTCAAGGACTCTCAACCTATTAAAATAACCAAATTTTGTGAGCCAATGACTCTCCGCCTATTAAAGTAACCAAATTTTTGCTAATTTTCATCTCTCAAACCAGGCGACCCCTTCACTTTCAATCACAAATATCTCGACTTCTATTCAAGACAGAAAGGGGGGTTTTTTTCATCGAAAGCAAAACAAAAAAACAAGCTTGTAGATGATACTAATAACGTTACATGCCCAAAAATTGACCAGTACCTGATTCAACCACATCCTTATGTTTTTCTGCGTCACGAATCAGATTCCATCCAATCAAACTGGTCTATCCATGACAGAAAACTCAGGACATCCCCGACTGTATCAAATTGGGCGTTGCACAGTGGGTGCTGGATACACCGTTTAATTTTTCACACCACTCTCTTGCATTAAGTAACGTTACTCGGTTGGAGAATTATAGGTATCATGGCAGGCAGTACAATGCCATAGCCGCTCCTCTCCTCCTCTCCAGGATCCAGGAAAGGGTTGGCTTGCTGATAATGACTAAGGAACGTATGGTTTTGTAAGCTATAATAATAACACTGCCCAAACCTTGCCTGTTGTGCTCTTCGCATCATTTCAATTGATGAACCTACTTGCTATTATTGATTATGGTTTATGAACATGTTGATTCGACACGAATTAGCCATCTTTTTTAAGTTTAGTTTTAGTAATTCTTTTTATTCTTTTACGGCGCTTGCAACACAATAAGGTCATGTAAGTGCCGAAGAATAGATTTTGTTTTACAAGAGAGTACCATACACAAAAAATAAGGAGGAGAGATAGGGACGACAGATGTTTGATAGGAAAGAAGGAGGAAACCACCCACTTAGACTATCTTCAGAATCTTAAATTTAAACATGTAGTTGTATGTGTCCTGCGCACGAATACAACAGAATGAGTAAAATAAGAAAGGGATACTGGGAGGGCAAGGAAGGTGGTTTGGGGGGGGGGGGATAGGACATCAGCAAATCGATGAAGATTGCGAGAGAGAACGTGAGTACAAATATTGCAGTAAACTGCCGGAAATGAAAACGTGAAACTCGTCCAAAATTGTTTGTCATTCGTGCGCTGCAACAAGAGAAAAAGAAAGAAAAAGTAGGCTACCCGGACCAAGCAGACCGCAGCATCTAGAACAGTTTTAAGGCTCACATCTTGAGGGTGAAATAATCCATGTCTGTTGTTTGGGCTTTTCTTTTCCCTTTTGTTTTTGTTTGGGGGGGTTTTTGTAATTGTCTTTGTTGTTGTTGTTGATGTTGTTGTTGTTGTTGTTGTTGTTGTTGTCGTTGTTGTTGTTGTTGTTGTTGTTGTTGTTGTTGTTGTTCTGTCTTATTCTATTTTTGATTTGTTTTGTTTTGTGGGGGTGGGGGTTGGAGGAGAGGTGGGGCTGTTTTTGCCTTGTTGTTTGTTTGGGGTTGTTGTTTTTTTTGTTTTAGTAGTTGTTGTTTTGTTGTTATTGTCTTTTGT